TGAGGAGATTCAGTATTGCACAAGCCGTAACTCAGCCTAACATGGCGCTACAAATGGCAGGGCCTTCGGCTCTAGCAATCCCTCAGTCCCCGCCTTCGTTGATGACTCCGGGCCAGGGACAAGGCGGTGGTACCTTCATGAGGAGCACGACAGCTTCTAACAAAATGACGCACAAGACTAAGGTCACAAAGGGCGACGAAACGGTGGAAAATGTGGCAGAAGCCAGCGAAACATTGGCTACTATGGAGGCTGGTCACATCCCTGCACCGCCACCGCTACCGACTCGGGAGCAACTCAGGCGGGCAAGTCTTGCACAAGCCGTGATACATCCGCGGGTGCATGGGGTAGGATTCGGACGAGTCCCCTCGCCCCCAGCTTGCCGCCTATGGAGTTACTGATGTCCGGAATCTCACATGAATCCGGACTGGTCCCTCCCCCTCCAGCGCTGCCACCCATGGAACTTCTGATGTCAGGAATCTCACATGGATCCGGACTGGTTCCTTCTCCTCCTGCATTGCCACCTATGGAACTTCTAATGTCCGGAATCTCGTATGGGTTCGGAGGAGTCACTCAGCCCACGCCGACTTCAATGTTGTCCCCAAACCAGGGACAAGGTGGCGGCACGTTTATGCGGAGCACGACGGCTTCCAACAAGATGACACACAAGACTAAAGTCACAAAGGGCGACGAAACAGTGGAAAATGTGGCGGAGGCAAGCGAAACGTTGGCTACTGTGGAGGCTGGCCACATCCCTGCTCCACCACCGCTACCGACTCGGGAGCAACTCAGGCGGGCAAGTCTTGCACAAGCCGTGGTCCACCCGCTGGTGCATGGGGTAGGGTTCGGACGAGTCCCCTCGCCCCCAGCTTTGCCGCCTATGGAGTTACTGATGTCCGGAATCTCACATGAATCCGGACTGGTCCCTCCCCCTCCAGCGCTGCCACCCATGGAACTTCTGATGTCAGGAATCTCACATGGATCCGGACTGGTTCCTTCTCCTCCTGCATTGCCACCTATGGAACTTCTAATGTCCGGAATCTCGCATGGGCTCGGAGGAGTCACTCAGCCCCCACCGACTTCAATGTTGTCCCGAGGCCATGGACAAGGTGGCGGTACCTTCATGAGGAGCACGACAGCTTCTAACAAGATGACACACAAGACTAAGGTCACAAAGGGCGACGAAACGGTGGAAAATGTGGCAGAAGCCGGTCAAACAGTGGCTACTATGGAGGCTGGCCACATCCCTGCTCCACCACCGCTCCCAACTCCGGAGCAACTGAGGAGATTTAGTATTGCACAAGCCGTACATCAGCCTAACATGGCGCTACAAATGGCAGGGCCTTCGGCAACAGCAATCCCTCAGTCCCCGCCTTCGTTGATGACTCAGGGACAAGGCGGCGGTACCTTTATGAGGAGCACGACAACTTCTAACAAAATGACGCACAAGACTAAGGTCACAAAGGGCGACGAAACGGTGGAAAATGTGGCAGAAGCTAGCGAAACTTTGGCTACTATGGAGGCTGGTCACATCCCTGCACCGCCACCGCTACCGACTCGGGAGCAACTCAGGCGGGCAAGTCTTGCACAAGCCGTGGTCCCCCCGCGGGTGCATGGGGTAGGATTCGGACGAGTCCCCTCGCCCCCAGCTTTGCCGCCTATGGAGTTACTGATGTCCGGAATCTCACATGAATCCGGACGGGTCCCTTCTCCTCCACCGCTGCCACCCATGGAACTTCTGATTTCCGAAATCTCGTTTGAATCCAGACGAGTTCCTAATCCTCCTGCTTTACCACCAATGGAGCTTCTGATGTCTGGAATCCCAGCCTTTCCTGGGCAGGAAGTCTCCCAGGCGTTACCGGGGCCACTGCTGGATCTGGTTGGTGCTGGGGCCAGGCAGCCAGTACCGGATCCAAACAGGCAGTACACTGTCATGACGATGTACTCCACGCAGGGGTCAAACTTGCCTCAGAAGAAAGCTCGGCATGACGAGGGCGATGGACACGGCACGACAGAGGTCGGTGTCGGTGCAAAAACAACCAAGTTCCGCACAAACATCCCAGACCCCCCGCCTTTGCCAGAAATGAAGTTTTTTGTCCGAAAACCGTATGTCCAACACAAGGGCACGTTTGGACATGAGATAGCGCAGAAAGTGGACCGTTTTACCCAGCGGAGGGAAATGTCCTTAGAGCTCCACATCGCGAGAAGGGATTCAACCGATTTACTCCTCGCAATCGAGGAAAACGCGTCGAAGTTTTCCACGGAGGAAGTTGAGGAAATGAGAAAAGAAGCAAACGAGGATATTGCCAAAATCGACGCGTGTCTCAACGAACTGCTGATGTCGACCTCAATGAGGAACTTGTATGAAGACTCAGAGTCAGTGGTTGAAGACTCAGGGTCAGTGTGTTCTGAAGAGTTACCACCCGTGGAGATAGTGTCTACGGATGACTCTCAAACAGATCCACTGGCTATACAATCCGACAGTCAGCTGACGGTCCATCTGCATCGCCAGTCAGATGATTCGCAATCGACAGAGCAAAACCAGCTCAAACTGTGCCAGCACGCCGACCACGGTGAAAGCGCCTGGCACCAGCGTGGCAACCACTACCAGGTCGTGCACGGGGAGAAGACACCGTGCTGCCTTGCAGACCACGCCCAGAACTGGAGCTACAAGCCTCCGAGATTCAAGTGCGGCAGTTGTGACGAAACCCTGCTCATGAAGTTCCATTTGGAAACAGACAGTGAGGGGGAAGATGAGGAGGAGGAGGGGCATACTGAAGTCCCCGTGCCTATCTGCCGCACCAAGAAGCACCAGCATGATCATAACTGGACGTACAATCCCCCACAAATGACATGCAAGTCGTGCCAAGTAAAAGCGGTGCTGAAAATGCACCTGAAAAGTGATGAAGAAGATGGAGACCCTGCCGAGAGGCCTGTCCCCATCTACCATAGGTCACCGCGCAAGGATCCTCGCACCCATCCCCGTCTGATACAGTCCCGATCGGACAACAAAACCTCGCAGATTCCGCTGGTTAGGAAACCAAGTAAAACCAGCGAGCGGAAGTATCCTTACAGACAACCGGGGGAGAAAGCCTATTCAACCGCGCAAGCATCTTCACGGAAGCTGCCGGAACCTAAGGTGATCGTGACGCCAGAGATGCGGCGCCAGCCTGCGGCTGAGGCGGTGTCGGTGTCGGTGTCAGGAGCGGCACAGTCGTCCGCACGCCAGGGTCGGCCTCCGCCGGAAAACGTGGAAACGCGGACAACGGATGGTACAAGTCCGCCTAAATCCACAGCTGCAAAAGCTGACAAGCAGTCAGTAAAGGGCTCGGCTGAGCCTGCAGCTCAAACACAGAAGGGCACTGTGAAGGGAGGCAAAAGGGAGAAGACTCAAAAAGAGTACTCCCAGAAAGTTTGGGAAGCCCTTGTTGGCGACGACAATGAATGGGAAAGTCCCAAGACGCCCAAGGATGCTAAGAAGCCTTCTACTGCATCTAAAGATGCCGGGACAAAGAGCACACAAAAAGGAGCAAAAGCGCCGAAAGTTGGACAAACCGGAGACCAAACAGCAAAATTGACGCCTACGAAAATTCCGCAACCGATCAAAGATACTGCTGTTAAGCGGAAAGATCCCATAATGGGGACAACTGCACTGTCCGCAAAACGGACCGAGGTAAGGTCAACAGACAAGGCGTCTGTCACACAAGCCGCGCACCCCCCGACGAAAATTCCGCAACCGATTAAACAGACAGATGCTCATCAGCGGAAAGTTCCAGTGATGGGCACAGCTGCACTGTCAGCAAAGCGCGCTGAAATGCAGTCTACAGACAAGGAGTCTGTCACACAAGCCGCGCACCCACCGACGAAAATTCCGCAACCGATTAAGGAAAAGGATGCTCAGCGGAAAGTTCCAGTGATGGGCACAACTGCGCTGTCAGCAAAGCGCGCTGAAATGCAGTCTACAGACAAGGAGTCTGTCACACAAGCCGCGCACCCACCGACGAAAATTCCGCAACCGATTAAAGAGACAGATGCTCAGCAGCGGAAAGTTCCAGTGATGGGGACAACTGCACTGTCAGCAAAGCGCGCTGAAATGCAGTATACAGACAAGGAGTCTGTCACACAAGCCGCGTACCCACCGACGAAAATTCCGCAACCGATTAAAGAAACGGGTGTCCAGCGGAAAGCTCCAGTGATGGGCACAGCTGCACTGTCCGTAAAACGCGCCGAAATGCAGTCAGCAGACACGACGTCGGTCAAACAAGCCGCGTACCCACCGACGAAAATTCCGCAACCGATTAAAGACACGGATGCTCAGCGGAAAGTTCCAGTGATGGGGACAACTGCACTGTACGCAAAACGTGCCGAAATGCAGTCAACAGACAAGGAGTCTGTCACACAAGCCGCGCACCCACCGACGAAAATTCCGCAACCGATTAAAGAGAAGGATGCTCAGCGGAAAGTTCCAGTGATGGGCACAACTGCATTGTCCGCAAAACGCACCGACATGCAGACAGAAGACAAGCAAGCCGCGCACCCACCGACGAAAATTCCGCAACCGATAAAAGAAACGAGTGTTGAGCGGAAAGATCCAGTGATGGGGACAACTGCATTGTCCGCAAAACGCACCGACATGCAGACAGAAGACAAGGCGTCTGTCACACAAGCCGCGCACCCACCGACGAAAATTCCGCAACCGATTAAAGAGAAGGATGCTCAGCGGAAAGTTCCAGTGATGAGCACAACTGCATTGTCCGCAAAACGCACCGACACGCAGACAGAAGACAAGCAAGCCGCGCACTCACCGACGAAAATTCCGCAACCG